CACCTCTCTCTTCTTCTCCTACTAACTACCTCCTCTCTCTCTCTCTCTCTCTATTTCGCTCGCTAACTTTTTGATTACGTGGCGGAGACCGGCAACGACCTTCGACAAACTGTTATTCCAAACAGAATAGGCCGCTTCTTCCCTGTTCTTCCCGCCTTTCTGCCCCCACTTCCCCCACTCCTCTGCCGGGCAAACCTCGTGACGTGGTGGTGGTGGTGGGGGGGATCCTCTTCGTTTCCAACGATCGTGAGCGAGGAAGAAACTCGGAGACGGTCAACGGGGATCTCTTCAACCGTAGACGAACAGCATTTGGTAATACGAGGCAGAATATCACGGATAAAGGATTATCGTTCAAGCGGGCCGTTGCAGGAGGAAACGCACTTATAGGCCGGTTATCCGGTACCGGGGCACAACAGTCGTCCACCGACAGAAGTGACGGAACGGTTGGCCGGCCATTCAGAGGCTGCCAATCGTGGCAGGCAGTTATCGACCGAAAAGTCGGTCGATTCACGTCATCGACCGTTGCATCCTCCCTGCTGGCTGCATACCTAGGAAAATTCGTCGATGACTCGTTCCGCTCTTCTCTATTTCGCTCCGTCTCTTTCTCTCCGTGCTTTACCTCGTCCAGGATCGAGATCTGAAAATCGTATTCGTGTGAATTATTGGATAAATTTTTGTCAGTGATTTGATGGGTTTTTTTCTTTTAGTATTTGTATCTAAGTCGGCGGAATATGCTTATTTTTAACCATCCTTAATTAAACTTGGGCAATCTAATTGTATTTTAGGAACATTCGTAAATAGACGCTCTAAAATCTTTTCTAATCTTTTTAAGAGAGAATAGAAGGATAGTTAAACAAAGAAAAAAAAATTATTATTAAATGAAAAGTTGATATTTAATTGGCTAATCAATTTTATAATTACAATAATTTCTCGAAAAATTGAAAAATCTCTTCTCTAATTCCTTTTTTATTTATCCTTTCCATATTTTTCGAAACGTAAACGCGACATGAAAGATACATCAATCCCTGACTGTCACGGCTTGGTTCTAGTGATTTACGACCGAATAAAGAGATAGTTAAAATCATGGAAAATAACATAATACAATAATATCGATATTGCATCTCGTGTAAAAAAAAAAAAAAAAAGAAATACATCGCAAAAAAATAATAATTTATCAATGATTAAGAAAATAACACGTTTCCGAAAGGATTGATTAAAGACGTTAAGGATCCTTCTTAGAAAGATATTGTTCTATATTCTCGCAAAATGTTGCGATTCGAAGATAATTAAAAACAGTTTGGATTAAGGAAAACCGTTCGTTAAACGTATAATTACTCGAAAGGCGTGATAAACTCGACTCGTTTGCCTTGCCTCGTATTTCATTCGAAAAATTACAAATTCCCGTAAAACAACGGCCGCAACAATCAAGATTTAATTACGGTCCAGTGAGGTGAACGAGAATAAACCAAGACATCAACGTAACCAGCCATTGTTTGCATATCAATGAAGACCTGACTAACGTCCAACGAGCATCGTCCATCTCTCTGATTAGATTTTCACCGTTTTGCCTCTATATATATATATATATACTACATATTAAACCGGCCATTTCCACAGTTTTCCCCAATTACGACGAGCTTATTAGCGGGCCAATTTCGAATTTGCAACACGTTGCATTTTTTCGATGATAAAATCAGTCGGGTTTCGTTTCCCAAGTTTCGAGTTTTCAACTGTGCACGCAACTTGCATCATCTTTGCGAGCGAAGAGTGCTCGAACGAGTCAGATTTTCAAATGAAAAGAAACAGGATCGATAGACGTCGGAATGGTTACACGGTATACCGAGAAAATTGCATTCAGTGTGTAACTCGACCTGATTTCCTTCGTACGAGAGATTTACTAAGGAGATGCAAATTTTCTTTTTTTCTTTTTCTCTCTTTTTTTCTTTTTCTTTCTCCCAATCCCCCCCTTTTTTAATGAGGTTGACGAGCTACCGATCTGTTTGATACTTTCGAAAGAGGAAACACTATACACTGCAATTTTTCTTTGTGCTTTTATACATTCTGTGAAATAAGTTGTGCTTTTTATTCGAGCGTACTTGAATCATTAGCGATGCAACAAGAGAAACGTAAGGATAACAACGTTGATATTAGAATTTTTATACTCGAGAAAAAAATAATTGAGAAAACTGGTTCCAACTTTGATTAAATTTATTTTCTGTTAATTTAATTATAATCGTGCATTATCATGAATTATATATATATATTAATAAAAATGTTATTAATGTTATTAACTTTTTTTCCAAATTTATAAATTTCCTTCGAGGATTGCATTCAGGATATTTGAATAAGGAAGAAGAAGAGAAATATACTGGAAGAAGTATATGTGTGTGTGTGTGTGTTAACATCGTGTGAAAAAAGGAACAATCAAATTTCATGGAAAGTATAGGAACAAGCATCACTCGCCCCGGACAGCCACGATTTCTTGGAACGAGAACCTTGCTCCCTGAGGGAATTGTACTTCTGATGTAACACTGATCCCAATTTCTCTTTTTTCGGGTTGAGCTTTTATGCGATGCGACATAAATTTTCGTCGACGTCACACGTTTCCTTCCGCATAACATCCAACAAGTTTTTTTAAATAAATCACTCGACTGTATAATAAATTACCTAGTAAACTGACAATCTCTGCGTTTAAAAACTCCACATTTAGCATTTATTTCCGTTTGATATTAATAATATTCAAATATCGAAAGGATTTAATATCAAATTCTAGCGATACAAAAACGTGATGCTTATTGTATTGATTAATCAGAATCCAAAGCGAATTTCTTTATTTTTATGAAATTATTGAATAATGAACGTTACTCGTTCAGTGAAAAAAAACTGAAGAACTCGATCGAATGAAATTGTGTCAAATTAATGTCATAAATGATTTTACATTAAAGTAATAAAACTTGAAACGTCTCGAATAATTTTCGTATTATTTCAATCTAAAGATTCATTGAATTAGAACTCGTATTATTAACAGTCTTTATTAGCCTTTGTTTTCTAAAAAATGTATTTTATTTTTTTAATAATTTCATTCCTATCCCCAGAAATAATCGAAGAATAAACACGTAGAATTTCATTTTTTCTTAATATCAATTGATAACCTAAGTAAAATGTTGAATTAAAAATTTTCAAATTCAGTTATATCATTATTCAGTTATTTGTTTCTTTCGATTCTTTATATTCCAATTTTATTAATATTATAAAAATACTATTAAATAAAACGGAAAGAACAAAAGTCGAAATGAATTTCGTAAAAATAAGAATTAAAAATATTGTAAAAATTCTCAAAAGCCGAAACGGAAGAGAAGGGGAAAGAGAGGGAAGAGTCTAAAATTTTATCAAGCGAAATAAAGAAGAAAAAAATTCACCGAAACTCAATGCTCCCTTTAAACAGAAACCGTACTTCACATTGTTGAACGACCTCTGCATACCTGAATTGCCTATTAATCAAATACAACCTCTTGCTGTCGAATGCTAACTGGATTTCGGATTTCTATTGAATGTTTCTCCAGTCGAAATTGCAATTGATCCTCGTATACGACATGAAACCGAGACACATCTATATTTTTTTATTTTCTAAAATCAATGCAATACTTGGATTTCTACCAAATTTTATTTTACACGAAATATATTCGTAAAAGAAGAATGCTCGCAATTATATTTGACGAAAGAATATTCTATGACGAAATTATAAAAGTATAAAAATATATGACGGATGTGAATAGAAAAGATTCTTTAAAAGTGTACCTTTTGATAAAATATATTTCCACCAAGTTTTGATAAATTCTACTATTCAATTCATGCCTCAAAACATTGGTAATGGCATCGTAATTAAATTGAATACAGCGAAAGAGAATATTTTCAGAATGTAAATATAAAATTTATAATTAGTTTCTTCGAAGGAATAATTTTGAAATTAATTTATAACGTTTCTTTCTGTTCTCATCTTTTCAATCTTAAAAAAAAATATTATTACAGAAGTTAAATTTTCGAATTAAAATTGTTATCTAAAACTGTCTAAAATAAACAAATACAATTACCTCATAATTTCGAAGGGTTAAAAATTTTTATCTACATTGAATTATAACACAATTCGACATCTCTTATACATAATTTATCACAATCAAGCATTTCGAAAATGACGAGATGTAAAAATATTTGTATTATTCACTCGAATATTACAATTTCTTATCACCGCATTGACCAATTTGCCCGTATTTCTCAATTATTTATTTACAAATATTACTTCTACGAAACAGATAACTCATCAATTGATTAGGAAACACCGAATCAAAACCCAATCCAAATTGCCAAAATATAAAAATATCTTACAAAATATTGAACATAACCAATATATGAATTGGTGATTATGAAAAATTATTAAAATTTCATTCGCATTTAATACTTCTCGCGAATGTCCACGATCCTGCGAGGATTCGATATTCAAGGCGCGCCATTTCCACCGATTCTACGGTTTCAAAGAACGAAATGGAAACGACTATCGTGGCATATTATCGATGCATTTTAAAGGTGGCTGGATTTCGTGAAAAAGGGCACGATTTTCAAGCTGCGGTTCGCTTGGTTACAATTCGATAGAACGTTTACACCGCGATCAAGTGAAATTGCGTTTGTGATATTCGTTTCCACGAGCCAGTAAATTTTAAAGCCCCTATTTTCAACGTGGAAATACGGGGCACAGATTGTAACAAATATTTCCATCCCCCAAAATCCGTAGCTCGAGATACTTGACTTGACAAACAGAAACCGAAAAACAGATTAAAAATTTGAAGATTCTTCTCCCCCCCCTCCCTCAAAAAAAAACACTCGTATTTTCATCTCCACGTATATAATTTTTCATATTACATTTTGGCTGATTGAATTAGTAAAAAACATGGATCAAATTGTTTCCAATCGTTACCAATTTTCGTCATAAATCAACTTTAAAACTTTACGAAGTTTAAGATTAAAACAAATCTGGATTGGATTGTTCCGTTGTCGAGTTAAAGGAACATCTTGAAGTTTTAAATATATGTAAATGTAGAGCACAATGGTGCCGTTATCTCGGAAGAAAAACTCTTTTTTGCATACCCGTCCTGCATTCTACTCCAAGTTGCAGCATACAGTGAGGAAAAACTGAAGATTCGCATTATCGTCACGTTCGAGCGACGTTCCAGACGATTCAACTTCCGGAGAGAGGATATTGGTGGCGCTACAGATACATAACTTCGTGAAAGCTCTATTTTATGTCCGAAACAAGTTACATTTCCTCTCTACCTGACTCCTGCTATTTCATCCTTCCCGAAAAGCTTTATATTTTGTCAAAATAGAACAGCCACTTTTTCGTTTAACTTAAAAAAAAAAAAAAGTAAAAAAAAAAAAAAAAAAGGAACAGAATCAGTTCCTTTGATGTTGTTGGAAAATGTTTATCCAATCGAAAAATCTCTATTTACTAAACAAATATATTTTATACTGATTTATCATGTTTCGAAAATCCTTCTAGAAAATAAATTCGAAAATCTTTCGAGTTGAATTATTTTATATCGTCACAAGTAATCGTCGTTTTAAGAATGCAATTGCAATCAGTCAAGAGTTATTTATTGCATTAAATAGGTTTTCTAATTAAAGATTAAAAAAGATGTAAATTTGTTGAAGGAAAAAGTTGTTTCGATCGTAAATTAAGTAATTTTTAATAATAATAAATAACGAGGAATAACAATTAAAAAAAGTTTGTAAAAGTGGATGTTAATTTTCTATTAAAATTATGATTTTTAAAATAGCATTGCTCAATGGATGACTTAATATTTCATCTCAGCATTTATATTGTGCATATACATCATTCGAGGAGACATTCATAAAATCATTAAGATACGAATATGAATCGTTTAAGTATGAATCACCTCAAATGTGCATACGAAGATCACTTTACATGGAATCGGGGTTAAGGTCGATGCTGACGATTGAGAATACGAATTATTAAATCTCGCAACATCGATTTTGGCAGAGATACATCTCAAATACGACGTCACATTTCAACATAGATACACATTATTCTCAAACTGCATAACCATAACCGAATCAATATTCTCTTTTCCTTGCAATTTCAACAGAAAGGACAGGAATTTCAACATAATTATTCTAATTAATATTCTACACAAATCAAAAATTAAATCGAATTTCATGAATATTGTATTATTATTAATTAACTAAGCCATAATCGTTTTAGAATTTAATCATATTTAATTCCATAATTAAATACAGAATTGATTAAAAACAAAAGTTTTTTCAAAAAAAATCTCATCAAATCCAACCATTGATATATCCAAACAATTAACAAATTAGATTAAATTTCCCCCCCCCCCCTCCAAAAAAAACTCTAAACGCAAAGCCACTCCACTCGAATCGCTTAAATTCAAATAACACGATTAATCTAATATCTACTTAAGATCGAGTTGAACTTATATACAAGTTTAAAATCAACTCACTTAAATTCAACCGACTTGACTAATCCGACCAAAACGTAATTCAATTATACCCGGTTCCAACTACTCCCATCTTCCCTCACTCTAACTCAATGTCTACATCCATTCGCTAATCCGAGCAAGAATTATGAAAATTATCTCTCCACGAGATCCCCCCCCCCCCTCCCCTCCCTCCATATTCTCCGTCCAAGTTATCCTCCAATATTATGTCACGGTCACGAGAAAGAAGGAAGGGCGAGCGACAGAGCTTTTTCCTTTCGGAAAAAAAGAGTTCGGTTGGACGATCGAACACATCCACCACGTACTTCGGTGCCCGAGGAAATTGCATTCTGCGGTCTTCCTCCTCCACTTCCGTGCTCGGTGATAAAGAGAGAACAAGAGGGGAGGGTGACGCACGACAGGAGAACGTTGACAGAAGAAGTGAATCAAATTTAAGCCGACTCTGCCTCTTTCTTCTTTCATCTTTGGCCCACCGTTATTATCGCTTCGTTCTTTCGTTCCGCCACGTCACTTCTACCCAACCATTTTTCTCTTTTTCTTCTTCTTTTTTTTTTTTTTTTTCTCAATTCTCAAACAAAGCACGCGAAAACCTTTCGAACGGTCCATCGTCGACCTGGCAACGACGAGGATGAGAGAAGAGGCTGGACGCGTGCACACGCCGGCAAAATGAAAACGAACCAGGCTGAAACCTCTTTGCCAGGTAATAACCGGCGACCTTTGCCCCCAACGAGAGCTCTGCCTACCTGGCCGCTACGTGACCGACTTCTCTTTCTGAGAGGACCGATTTTTACGCACGGCCGACGCGTATCACCGGATGCTCCGAGAAGAAAGAGACTGGAAAGCAGCTGCGAAAATGGTCTGTGACGATGAATGCTCGGTGATCGGATGAAGGGAATGATCGATGATGGTTCGATTGGAAAATTTTGATGTCTCTAGCGAGGTTGCAGTGAATGAAAGAATGAATTTCGGTCAAATGAAACCCCTAATGGGATCTATTAGTTGTATGATTGTGTGAAACGTGTTTAATTCGTGTAAATGGATAAAATAATTCTTACTTAGGAACACGATATATTGGAAAAATGCAATTTTATCGCGAAGAGAAATATTATGGATTAAAACTTTTCTACTTTTTCTCTACCTTCCTTCGTATCGAATATATTACAATGCAAATGCGAATTGCGAATAAAGGATAGGATTTTAATATCACAAGAATTCGATATTTAAATAATTCCTTCCCATACAAAGTAACAAATTGAGTGCAGTGTTTGAATATTAATGTGAATAACTGTATGTGATGACTAGTAGTAATATAGAATTCATTGAACTTGCAATGATTGATTGAATATATGTATGATAAATGATCAAGAAGATTTTATTAATTTAATAATTTGGTCGAATAATTTATATTAGCATTATTAAATTAATTTAATAAAAGAATTTCTATTTTAAATAATTATTTCTTTCAGTTATAATAAAAATAATCTAATAGATTTTTGAAAACTACACTAAAAATATTTTATAATGAATTTTAAAAATCACAGTGAAAAGTTTTTACTATCATAATTATTCGACTAATAAAAAGTGACCTATTTTGCTTGAATTTTTAGAGCATACTATTTTCAGATTATTTCCTTTTTTTTTTTTGGTAATTACATGCAGATATATCTAAAAAAAAAATAGCACTTAATCACGTATTTCCTACAAATGAATAATGCATGAACCATTGAAAATTCATTTCATCATTTTGCCAAAAAATACTTATAATTTATATTCTAAAAATAAATGAGTACATTCCGAAATAAACTTTTATAATATTTTAGTTTTCAGAAACACAATGATTATGAATTGAGTTAAAAATTAACATGTAATAAAAATATTTTCTATCGTATTTCATATTTCAATTATAAAACAATAAATGAAAAAACATTTTCATTTATTGTTTCATTAAAATATACAAATTAGTAATATATCAATTATAAATTTTCATTTAAATTGCGCGCCATATGTTTGAATTGTCCTTTGAATTAATTATTACGTAATTCATGATTACGTATTTAACATATTTTACAATGAAAACAATAATATAATAATATATAATTCGACAAATTATCACTAATATATTGTTAATGAAAAAAAAATTAACAAATTATCTATTAAAAATTGTTAGGTTATGTATTGTTGCAAACTTCCAGATGTAAATTATACGCAATATAACGAAATTTATCTCAATATTTCGAGGCAATTATATCATCGAAAATATATACAAATTCAATCTCGAGAAAACCAAATATGCCTATAATCTGTATCTACTCTTTAAAAATGACATCTACTTACGCAATGATCATTACCGCGAACAAAAGAAATGCCAACGAACCGACCCATGCAAGGGCCTTTCTCGTAACAGGAAACACTCGGGGTCATGGACTGGCTTGAAGTTCATGCCGGTGTAGTTCGTGCAATGAGAACACGAGACGCGCAGAAAACCGGCTGGTTCAACTCACTCGTTAAGATAACACAGCTGTATATTCCACGTATAATTTCGTGCGACAGGAGGACAAATAAAAATTTAAACTGTCACTTTATCGAGTAAGAATCGCGACACGACCGACGACCAGTTCTCGATTGACAATAAACGTGCGCAGTGTTTTACCGCGCAGCGTCACTTTCAAGTTTCGATAATCAGAACCACGATATCGAATCTCGCGATCGAGATCATATCGACTATATATATAATATTTGAGAGACGTTTGAAAATCAAATATGGCCGTCGAACAGTCGTTATTTCTGATAATAATAACAATAAAATTGAAATGCGAATACCATCTGCTTCGATAGTTTGAAATATATTCGAAGAAAAACATGCTGATCTTTCGTACGGACGGATAAAAAGACGTAAACAAACTCGTCCTCGTGTCGATGCGAACTACGTAATGGACAACACAGTACGCGACGTTATATCTAGACCCGCGAGGAAATCATCATGTGATAGAATTTAAACTGCACGGTTCGCGGAATCGTGCACAAGAATGCAGATAGGTTAGAAATGAGACACGACTGCACGTGGGCAGAAACACGCCTGTCCCGCCACCAGGGATGTACTGTGAAATAGCAAAGCTGTCAAGATACTGTTCCTATGTCGTCGAAAGATGAACGCGACAAAGTTGCACACAAGCATACGCGTATATGTACACATACGCGACACAGTTGATATACTATACGCGGGGAACTCGTTACACGAGGCCACCTCAAGGTAACGGTTCCCGGATACACGTCTCGATACCAAAAGGAGAAATTTATAGAGACTTTTGATTTGACAGCTCGCGAGAATTACTCGTAATAAAGAAGCGGGGCACGCGGTCGTGTTTATTAATAGATTTCACTCACGATTTCAGCTGGTGTTCCGTTGGCTCTTCTTCAATCGAACTGTTCTGCGCGTACCACTGGTCTTCTCCGTCGATACACGCTCTCGTCGTGCACAGAGAGATACTCCAATCGAAGCGAGGAATGCGGAAGATGGAGAAACGGGGATAGAACACCGCACAGTTGCACAGCCTGGGAAACACGCCTTTCGTACCGCCAAACGAATTGATTCACGATTACTCGCCACGGAACTGAATACACGATCGTGACATCTAATGTATACGTAAAGCGAGCCGCGTGTAGTTTTTATATCGTGTCACCGTCGACGCGCGAATGTCGAAACGTGCAACGTCATTCCTCGTTGCGATCTCATCCCTACGACGAAGCACGGCTGACTGACGGTTTGGTCCGCCACTCCGTTCCAATCTTCCCCCTCTACTACCGCGCAGCGCCTTCCTCTCCCCACTCCCTGCCCCCTCCATTCGACTAGCTTCTCCCGCCGTCGCAACTCGCAGCCCCGCGCGTCCCACGCCACCCGCAGCGACGTTCAGTCACTCGGCAATCGCCTGCCTGTGTACTACTCTTTCTCTGTCTTACATTCTGTGTTCGTGCCGTGAAACAGAGCGAGAGAGGCTTGGACACGGCGCGAAAGGTTGAGGAGACTACCAGTGTCGTCGTAATGTTACGGGTGTACCCGTTAGCCGCTTGTACCTTTTCCATCACGCATTAATATGCATAATATAATGTTATTTGAAACATGATTTTTTTGTTTTATTTATATAGGAGAGGAATCCTCTGTCTAAAGATTTATTGCAGTACACGATCCGAAACACGAGAAATAGTCTTGCAAGAATATAATTTAAAATGTTACTAATTTAATATTCTTTTCATATTATATTATAGAATAAATATGAATGAGAATAGATTCTTATTACGCAAATACTAAATTCTTCGAAATTTATATTAAAAACTTAACATTTTAATTCCAAACATACACATTCATGTATAATAATAAGTAATTTATTCGATTCTTAATCTTTGATTAAAGTCATCATCACCAATCCAACAAAATAATCGTAAAATTCAACATTTTATTATTACGGAACAATCGATGAAACATCTGTGTTCGAGGATTAAACAAAATTCTCTTCCATTCTCGTCTCGTATCCACGAACTTTCGCACGAAAGGGAGCGTTCAAATAGCGTATCACCTGACCGTATTCCCCAGCTTAAGCTCTCTTTGCCGCAGTCATGGGCCCGGCAAGGTCCTCGATCGTCCCTGGGGGTTCCAGCAGAAAACTCGTCCCTCTCCATCATGCTGCAACCCTCTTCTTCCCGCTCGTTCGTCTTCTAGCCACATGCACGTAGAGGACTACGTCTTCTCTGGCGTGCACCAGTGTCTTCAGCCTCCGTCAACCTGGTTTCTCTGGCTCGAGCCTCCTCTTTCTCCCTCGGCCCCTTTCATTCTTCTTCTCCCCTGTTGTCTGGGCCCTTGCGGGTCGAGGACGAAGAGGGAGAGAAGAATATTGAGCAGGCATTCCAATTCCTGCCAGTTAGTCCACGTTCGATTCTTTTCAATCTTATCTTATCCACCTGTCTGGCTCGCGTCGATGAAGCTCGCGAGCGAGCTTATTCGAATACATATTCAGAGGGAAGCTCTGTTGTTTGTCACTAACATGAGAACGCTCGCTGATACGCCGTTGGATGCATGCTAAACGAGCGTGCCGATAACGAGCTGGGATACGATCGAACGCATCCGGATTTCCGTGCAACTCCTGCCCGCCTTATTTGCAGTATACCGTGTCTGAGATCAATTGCCTGCTCAAGGCCACTCAAGGGTTACTCCCTGTTATAGAGGTCGATTCAATGCTATTCTCGAGTGGAACTCTTTGATTTTATTTCCCTTTGCTTATGTTGTCTATCGAGTAATGTAGGGAGAGAGATGATAGTTGAGGAGGATAACTGGAAGGGAGATACACATCTATGAAAATATAGTAAGTTTTTTTTAATCTAAAGTTGATAAATTGTTGACAAAATTCTCAATTTAGACGATATCGATTTAATTATTTTGTCATTGTATCTCCCTCCTCCAGTGTTTCATTTAAAACCCTTTGACAATTATCAATAGACGTTAATTTGATATTTTATACGATAAATAATGTACAATTAAGTTATAATTAAAAAAAAAAATCCGATAAATACCTAATAATACTTTTTAATATCCGTAAATAAAGTTATTATTAATTTTTGATATCAGGCCTATTGTTCAATGTCGTGAAAAGAATGTGTCCATAGAGGCGGAAAATCAATGATGAACCAAGATATTCAAGCAGAAGAGCATATCGAGGAAGATCAAATGAGACACAGGATAATAAAGAGAGCAAGGATTTCAGATTGGGTAAAAATCGGCAATAAAAAAGAATTTGAGAGAGAATGAGAGAAAAAGAGATTCAGATCCTGCTGGCTTTTATCGAGAATTGATGATGGATTTGTTTTCGACCTGATATTGAGTCATCCTATTCGTTCATCCCTCTATTCCATCACACTATCACGCAGAGAGAATTCAGGGCTTTCTCATTGTTTCGTTTGAGGTTTAATTAAAATGTATAATTTTGTCATTACATAATGTTTTGTTATTCGAATTTTTAACACTCGGTTGTAATTTGAATAATTTATAAAGTGTATAAAAGATTAAAGGATTGGATAATAAATAGAATAATTTTGAGTAAATTTTCAATGGATTTCAAGTAGAAAGAATGGAAACGAATTAAAATAATTTTATGAAAGAAAATATTAATACGTTCCTTTGTATTTTATTCCATAAAAAAAAAAAATATGTCTAAAGTAATTAGAAATGCTACATCTACAAATCGGAAAAAAATAACAAAGATGTGACAATAATAATGCAAGCAACAAATTTTCTTTTCTTAGAAAATATAATATTTTCCAGGATGAATGTATAAGAAAATGCCATAAATTCCATTTAATGTATCCTCATGCTTTTTTCTTCTTTTATCAAATTAATCTTGCGTATTAACCAATTAAGGACAGAAATTATGAAATCACGTATTACCAAGCGTTCCGTTATCGATGCATATTAATGCCACGGATAATACAATTTGTCTCATGGCCGGACGTTTATTAAATTTATTGTTAATCCGTTAAGAACGGATAATACGTTATCGCATAGTTAATTCCTCCCCCCCAAAACGCCAATTTTGCGCTGGAATAATCCCGCGTAATGAATAATTGATGCAGGGGATGGGGATCGATAGTTTTCGAAGAGTGACGCGTGCGAGAAACGTGTGTCAACGCTGTGAAAAATTTAACAGTTATAGGGCAGAAAGTGAGTGAGTGAATGAATCTAATTCGTAAGTAGGCCCCCCCACTATGAATTTATCAATGTGTGAACACATCGATAAGCGAGCTAACGGACATTTCTGATGCGGGGAAAATAGAACGAGGTTATTTTACGTGTAATCAATAGTCGTGTCTTGTTTTCGAGAAATTGAAAATGTTGGTGGAAAATTGGAAGACGTGTGAATTGGTCGTGAAAATTTTTTTTGACGAAGAAAAATATAACATAATAATTCAGAGACAAATACAAAAATTGTTATATGCAAAAATGATTTAACGGAGCTTATTTTTCGTGGGCAATTTAATTTTGAAGCGAGAGAGAGAGAGAGAGAGAGAGAGGTAGT